TCTTCAGTAATTCAGTTTGGTCTTTTGATAGACCTATCAGCTAGTTGCAATGAGATTATTATAGGTTTAGCTTTTCCCAATCCAAGAGACCGGTAAACAGAGTGTGGCATTAAGTTAACACTAGAACCTAAATCACATAAGGAATGCTCGAAATAATTAGAACCAATAGTGTACAGTACAGTATAGCTCACTGGGTCCTTTAGCTTAGGAGGTAGCTTTTTTAAGAGAATTGCACCGCATTCCTCATTCAAACTAACGGTCTAATATTTTTCCAGTTTCCTCTTGTTGGATAGAATTTCTTTCAAAAATTTTGCATTACTGGGCATTTGTGCTATTGCATCTGCAAAAGTGATGTTTATGTGCAATTTCTTGAAAACCTCCACAAATTTGGCAAATTGTTTGTCTAACTTCTTTTTCTACAACCGTTGAGAAAAGGGAATTGGGAGCACATAAGCTTTTATGGGACTTGATACTCTTATTGTAGATTTTTCTTTTCTCTCTTCATCCTCTTTTGCGACTGGTACAGCTTTTTCCTCTTTATGAGCCTCTTCAACTTATATCGCTTTGTCTTTTTTGTCTGGCCTCTTAACATGTATCTCTGGCAATTGTACTCCACTTCTAATTGTAATAGCTTGCACGTGCTTCTTTGAATATCATTGTATTACCTAGCAATGTCCCTTGTGAGCCTTCTGCAACCTGTTGAGCTATCTGACCAATTTGTGTCTCCAACTTCTTGATCGATGCCTACTGATTTTGAAAATTTATGTCAATTTGCATATACTGATTGAACATCTCCTCCAACTTGGTTATTTTCCCTGCTGGGCATTATTTGAACCATTCCCTTGCTGATTATCTGACTATTTGAAGTCCGGGTGTTGTCTCCATCATGGGTTATATGTTTGTGAATATGAGTTAAAATTGCGGGAGACATTCTGAATGAAGTTGACTTGTTCCCCAGAAAAGCCTATAGACATACAGTTTTCTGTCAAATGGTTAGCTCCATAGTTTTTGCATCCACTCATCACTGCATGTGCTCCTCTTATTTGTGATTTCACCAAAGCTGATATCTAGGCGTTGGTAGATGCTATGCTATCTAATTCATACATCCCAGATGCTCTCGGTGGTACCACTCTTTCTAATGAAAACATTGAATGTATAGTGACAATTAACTCAAATAAATCCATGGTTTGTTGTACTAATTTTCCTATGATTGATTCACTAGCAAAGGAATCCACCTGAGATTTTGACAGTGGTGAGAGTTCGGTATAGAAATACTACACTTGATTACCTATTGTGATTCCATTATTTAGACACTTTCGCATCAACTCTTTGAATATGTTCAATGCCTCGTGATAGCTCTTTCCATCTTTCTGTTGGAAAGTTTGAATTTTCAATCTAATTTTAGCTACTTTTCCCAGTGGAAATAATTTGTTGCAGAATTTTCTAATCAGTCATTCCCATGTAGTAATGCTTCCATGATGTTCGACGTCTAACCACTCTAATGCAGCATCTCTCAGTTTATATGGAAATACTCACAACTTAATAGCGTCTTCATTAACCCCTGGAGCATGGAAGTTCTAACAATTTTTTAGAAATCTGGAGATATTTGTGTTCAGATTTTCATGAGGTAACATGTAGAATTGGAGAGTTTTTCTCATCAAATTGATCCACTCTGCCCTTATCTAAAAATTATTTACCCCAAAATCTGGATACACAATATTAGAGCACGCAGGCGCGACTATGGGCAACATTGAAATGGCAAGTCTCCTTCGCTTATTTCCCATTGCTCATGTTGTTGATCCGGCGGTGTCGCTACTCTTGCGGCCACTTGTCCAATTAGCTGAATACGAATAGGAATATTTTGATCGTCAGCGATTTGATGTTGTTGTTTTTGTTTTTGTTCCTTGCGTCTTCGTCTGAAAGTACGTTCTATTTTCGAGTCAAACGATTCAAGATCGCCATCTTGGGTACGGAGCATACAACGAACACTTTTTGGTAATATAAAAAAATAAATCAAATAACAGTTAAAAAGAAAATAAATTAAGACTACAGGTAAATAGTCCCCCGACAATGGCGCCATAAACTTGTTGCCTTTTTTATATCGCAAGTGCACGATATCGTAACAAGCATTATAGTGGACCTTTGAGTTCGGATATCGTTCCCACGAGAACTATACTTTAAAACTTAATCTAATTTTTCTAATTCCTAATTGATAAAAGCATGTAAATAATTATGATGGTTGTGAATATTTTTTCATAACTACTTTTAATTAATTGAAAATATAAAAAAAGATTGCAAACAACGGATAATTGAAAATTCAAATATGAGATGAATATTATGGTATAATAATTTCATCTAACGATCATCTTAATTCTTAATTCAAGATTCATAACCTAATATAGTGTTCGATCGAATTCTTCTATTGTATTCAATTTACCCCTCTCGAATTCTCATTAAATATATTTAACTAATTAAATTTCATATCTCTATATAAATTAACCTTAGTTAAACGAAACACTAATTTTAAGAATTCATATTATGACCGCAATAATTAGTATATGTATCTCTACACGTTATACTAATTTACCGAATTTTATTATATGGTCTAAATCTCAAACTCACCTCTCGATTCGTAAGAGACTCACATAATTATCAAACTATTGATCAGATA